GTTAAGTAACTGCCAAAACTGTGTCCTGAGATGTTTTTACTGTGAATGGCGTGACAATAATTGTCTGTGTACAGTGTACAGTCTGATGAATCAAATTAACTGACCTAATGTTTCCATCCCCCCTTCCCTCCATATCTCATCCTTTCCCATTCTCCCTTGCCCTGTCGTTCCTATCACAGATGACAGGAAGAATTCCAATGGACAGCAAATGGAGTTTAAGTCAAATCAATGGTTTGGGGCCACTGTGCGGTCCACTGGGGACCATATTCTGGTGAGTCTGTCTGTGGAGGGTGTGAAATTCGCTCTGAAATAAGATTGTACCGAGCTCAAAAAAATTATTCTGCAACAGATCACATTTTTGCTTTAGGGACAGTAAAAAATATTTTATTAGCAAAGCAGTTTTATATGCGTCAGAAATCCCAGATTAAAGTCAGTATGTCAAATTGGAATTATGTAGTCTTTATTGTAACGTTGTAAGAAACTGTTGACACTTTTATTTTAAAGTACTTTAGTCTTGTCTTTCAGTGCTGATATGGCACTAAAAATAAAGAAGTTTTTAAGTAAGTTGCAAAAATATATGTCAGCAGATATTTTCCGACATGCTGTTTGGAAGAACTGGGTTTCAGATGGTAGGTTACAGAAAGATCATGATTACTAGTAATGCACTGATCTGCACATATCTTTTTCTTTTTTTTTCAGGCATGTGCTCCTCTCTACCAGTGGAGCACGTATGGATTCTCAGAGAGAGAGCCTGTCGGGACATGTTTCCTGAAGAAAGGCAATAACATTGTGGAATATTCACCTTGCCGCTCTAGTATGTACATGATCACAGCTTTTTACCTCTGGCTGCTCATGTCCTTATTGGGTCACTCCCTCAGAAATGGCTTAACTAAGATTCATGGGATATCATACTTGTGTATCATCTCCAAATCACTCATGGTTTTTAAGACATGGGTTAATAAGTTCTCACCAGACAATGTGCCAGTTGTCATATGGTTATGCCAGTTCCTCTGTCTGTTTACCTTCCCTTTTCTAACCTTTCCTTCATGTTGAGACTTCCTTAAAACGATTTCTGGTTTTTGTGAATATATGAATGGCTTTGAGTATTTTTTTTCCCATCAGACTCAAATTCACCTGAGGGGCAAGGATTTT